GTCACTAATTTAGCAGTGTAAGACCAGAGGGAAGGCAGCTAGTCATCACCACCCACCGCCAACGCTTGGGCTACTCTTTTACCAACGAATAGTGGGATTGATCGTCACCTTATAACGCCCCCACGGCTGAAAGGGCGAGCATGTTTGGTGGACAGGGATTCTAACCCGCGAATCGAGCGCCCTAGCCACCTGGCCATGACCGGGCCCAAGTCTTATCTAACCTACTGTATAATGTTTACTTATATTTAGCTCCATCTGCTCTCATTATTCTATAGATGATATAGATATCTTGTTCTTCTGTTTCAGCAGAATATGTAATTTGCATCCTTTCTTTCCAGTACATTGGCCAGATGCAAAAATAGCACATGCTTAAAACTTTTTATTTTCGTTATTCTCTTCAGGTTAGAGTTGTTTTATAATATTTTCCCTCTTCTTTCGCTTGGATACAATCGATACAGCTATAACTTTTTATAAATATATCTCGGATTCTTGGAATAAAAACGAAGTAACTATTTTACTCTGTGATTAATAACAAACCATTACTATTGCATAATATAATGTGTTTACAATTGTGTTGGACTTTCGTCTTTTTTAAAGTTGATTAAGTCATTTTATCTAAACCTGTTTCCAGTCACCGCAAGAATGTTCGAGCTGCATACTGTTTAAATTCATGTTTATGGTATTTTGTTAAGATCAAAATTACCTCATAGATCAAATTGAACTTTCTAGATAATATTCTCTGTTACGCTTGGTACTTCTTGTATCTCTGTAACTGTGTCGCAAACACAACTCCAATTTCATAAAATTTAACTAAATAATCGTGTCACGTTAACAATTTGTCGACTTACTTGCTGACTAGCAAATACCATCTGAATAATATATTGACTTCGCTGACTAACAAACACTCTCTCAATAATTCACTGACTTCGCTTGACTATCAAACTCCCTCTCAATAATTCACTTATTTCAATGACTAGCAAGTACTCTCTCAATAATTTACTGACATCAGTGACTAACAAATACTTTCTCGATAATTTACTGACTGCTCTTACTAACTCAATAATCGGTCATTTATCTACTTCAGCCTAAATTGCACTTTATACTGTTCAAACTGTTTTGAAACTTTAGATAAATTCCAGACCTTAGGATACGCGCTGATCACTTGCATTAAACTTCATTTCCACCGAACAACAATACAATTTCGAAACGTCTTCATTTAGGAAAATAGTAAGTTAGAACAACATATTTAAACCAAGTCATTTAAGAAAGTAGACATAACAATATGTCTGTGTATACATTCAACAATGTTTTATTAGACTAGATAGACATAACAATATGTCTGTGTATACGGTCAACAATGTTTTATTAGACTATATAGACATAACTAAATGTCTATGTATACATATGTTTGTGTGTGCGCGCATTCTTAAATTACTTATTTTAAACGTATTGTTCTACAGTTCTAGCTTAATACAAGAGTCGTGAACCAAACTTGAATTTCTTTAACTTTAATTCGGTAAATCTACATTTTAAGCGTATAACACATAGTCAACAATGTTTTATTAGACTAGCTAGACATAACAATATGTTTGTGTATACATTCAACAATGTTTTATTAGACTATATAAACATAACTATATGTATGTGTATACAGTCAACAATGTTTTATTAGACTAGATAGACATAACAATATGTCTGTGTATACGGTCAACAATGTTTTATTGGACTAGCTACGGATTATTTATTAGATTTAATTCAAGTTTGAAAAACTTGTTGTTAAGCGCAAAGCTACACAATAGGTTATCCGTGCTGTGCCTACTATGGGTATCAAAATTCAATTTTTATCACTAAAGACTTCACACTTATCAGGAACCTTCGGAGGGGGGAGAGCAAAGTTTAGAGAAACTTACTAACGCTTGTGTGAATTTATTTTATAATTTTGTAAAATTTCGAAAACTGGTCAGTATTGGTCTACAATTTGATTTCCTACTTGCCAAGATAATAATCATTTCTTCGGTGAGGATTGCCACATAGTAGAAATCCAGGAACGATGTAGCAATGCAACCATATAATTATTATACAAATGAAAATATTAAAACGACTGAGAAAATATAATGTTGAAAGGGACTCGTTGACTGAAAGAGTTGTAGCTTGGATATTCACCTTTTTATGTCTTCCTTATTTTTGTTCTTCTTTGATCACCTACTTCTGAAATAGTGGTTTGTTACCTAACGTTGTAATGAGTTCTCTTCGTGACTAGGAATGATAGTTCTCAGGACCTTAATTTTAGTTATTACCATGCATTCGTACTTTGTACTAGGAAGTCGAATAATAAAAGGCTAGAAATGGAGCCGACTGCCTAAGAAAAAAAACAAAACTCTTACAGAGAGAGTATGTTCACAGATCACATTACCATATATGTTTAAAATAACGGTATATTTATAGCACTTAAATACATAAAATATCACTATATTGCAATTCAGGAAATTTCCATTTTACCACTACTTGTAGCTCGGTTTTTATAGTAACAGAGATGTTTTTTGTGCAACAGTTTCACTACTGTTTAAAAGATTAAAACTACTTTATAAAAAATTTTAAGTGTAAAATTTGTATGTGTAAATTAAACTATTTTACAACTAATATGTTCATCATTTTCTTTATGAAGAGCTGTTGAATAACATTTTATTGGGATTTGTGGTCGATTAAAGTATCAATTTAAAATTGTACAAGTACAATAATTTCAGTTACAGAATTTCCAAGAAACTGGGTCTTCATAAAACTGTCTGTTATTTAGAAATCAAGCAAGAATTTCACAAACTTTCTATTACATTTTTAACCTTTTCTGTTGAATTAAAGTACCACCTGACATCATAGTTGACAAGAGTACCTCAGATCTGGTAACTCGGGAAGGCTCTAATGTGACTTTGGAATGCAAGGCCAAAGGGTATCCAGAACCAAACATTACATGGAGAAGAGAAGACTGTGAACCAATCCCCATGTCTCAGGAAGGCGGACAGAAAGTTATAAGTATGTGGTGATTACGATACACTAAACATCCATAGTGTGTGTATTTTTTTATTATAGACTCCGATAACTGATATAATTATTTACAGTAAAAATATGATTAATAGGAAATCTGAACTGACGTAACAACAGATGGTTATATTTCCAAACTACGTAAACAACAACGAGGAGTTGAAGTCGACGATGAGTATTCAGTAAGTATAAAACTTATGAGAACAATGTAATCATATGTCAACCACACTATATCTGCTATATCCAGTACCGACTAGGCCTTTCGCCTAATACCAGAACTCGTCAGGTTGAGAAAAGATAGCACTTGAAGTTGATTGAGTTAAAGCAAAATATTATCTAAAACAATGGCCACTTTTTGTAAGATACTACTTTTTTTTGTTTTTTAAATATATTTCTTTTAGAAACAATTCAAATAACTAACGTTGAAACAAAATATAAAAAATCACTAACAAGTGGACCCAAAGTGTATCTAATATGTGCATGAATGCTTGGAGATATTCCACATTCGCTTACTTAACCCATCTACTTACATATTATCATATCGATAGAACGTTTAAAAAGATGTCATGTTATCAATTAGTATGTGCTTTCTAAATTTATTTGTTTATTTTTATCAAAATATACATTAAAATGCCAATTGTTTTCGTTACTGCTTCTATGCAATTATGTCAGCGTTTTATTATTATTCGGTGATTCTTTTCTACTTTATACAGAGTTAAATCACGAGGGGGAGAAGCTGAGCATCACACGTGTTACCAGGTTACACATGGGAGCCTATCTATGTATAGCCTCAAATGGTGTCCCTCCATCGGTCAGCCGAAGAATTCTACTCCATGTTCATTGTAGGTTGTTCAAAGTTTTAATTGTTTCCCCCTTAACGTAACATTTCTTTTTGTTTGAAGTAATTTTTTTTCACAAAACAATTGCGAAATGTCATCCAATATTTCTAGAACCGTCGTAACAATATTTTAGCGCTCAAAACGAGAATAAAGGGGGGATTTCGTTTTTAAATTCTCTTTCTTGTGAAGCGTGCCGTATTTTAAAAGCTACTACCAACGACGGAGCTTTGTACAATAGCGTCAAGAGAAGAATTAATATACATGCTTGTTAAAAATTGGACTTACAATATCTTAAAAAATATTGTTTCTTATTCAATCAAATTATGAATTCATGGGGAATTGTAAGTATAAAAATAATAATAATCAGTAAAGTTTATCTACAAATACTCGCATTCATTGACTCCATATTAATTATTTTATGTATAAGATCGTATTATTTAACAAAAGCATAATTAATTATTAATCTAATGCCATGTGTGCAACTGTGTAATTAATTGAAAGGCATAAAAGGCAGAATTTTTTCCCATTATTTTTTTTTCATATTTATCGGTTTTGTATAGTTGATATCAGTATAATGAATAACTTTATCGATCAAATCTGTTATCCAGAATATAACTAAGTCGCTATAGTGAAACTATGTCTAAAGTATTGTGTACTTTCATCGTGCTTCCAGTAGTTACGCGTAATATATTTATTTTTTTCTTTGGCATTAAAGATTTGATCACGTGTTCAGCTGTCGGATCATGTAATCAAATGAACAAGTTCAATCCGCTTTCGATACCGGTGCTTTGCAGATATTTCTTGATTAATAGCAGACACAGAACAGACAGTCAATCTATTAGAATTACAGAAAATGTCCTTAAACATTTAATCCCGCGATTTTTAAAGTAACAAGAGCACCGCTGGCGGGAAACGTTTTTATTAAGATAAACCTATCGCATTTTCAAAGGTTGAGCTTAGAATTAACTATCTGTGCTTAATTAAATGGAAAAAGTATTTTTTTTTCATAGATACTTTTAGCGTCAATAAAATCTCTTGTTTCCATAGAAACGTTTTCCTATACACGTATTTAATTGTCTATAGTACAAAAAAAGTTTCTTACCAATTTTAAATGTATATTTATAGTCGATTGATTTAGTTTCCTCTTTCTTACCAATTTTAAATGTATATTTATTGCCGATTGATTTAGTTTCTTCTTTCTTACCAATTTTAAATGTATATTTATTGCCGATAGATTTAGTTTCTTCTTTTTTTTTTCGTACGTTTGGCAGCATTCTATTAAAATGCCTTTTAACTTCTTGTATCGGATATATTTAATTCTCTGCAACATAGTTTCAATGCTAAAGTGTGCCAAAAGGTTTAACAGGATTAGTTTCCTACACTGCCTCCCCCCTGGGGAATCACAGACATTTCCAAGGGCTGATAAAATGCGGACTTTCAACGCTAGAAACTGGGTTTCGATACCCGCGATAGGCACAACACAGATAGCCCATTGTGTAGCTTTATGCTTAACAACGTACATACAACATAATAATATATAAGGAGAGTGAAGAAGAAGTTCAATAATAAAACATGATGATGCTAAGTGTGATAACCATTCCCCCTAAAATAGTTTTTTCATGTCTTTAGATATTAACGTAAATCATTTTAATATAAGTAGGAGCCCCCCAGTGGCACAGCGATATGTCTGCTATATAACACTAGAATCCGGGTTTCGATACCCGTGGTGGGCAGAGCACAGATAGCCCTTTGTGTAGCTTTGTGCTTAATTACAAATAATAATAATAATATAAGTAGGAATATAATGTTTGTGTTCTGGCGCACAGCTACACAATGAGACATCTGCGCTCTGTCTACCGTGGGGAATCGAACTTCTGATTTTAGTGATGTAAGTCCGTGAACTTACCACTGACCCATCAGAGAACAGAATATATGAGCTGGTCATGCTGGACAAAACCGGCTTTAACGTTTATTACCAAATGCGTTAAGGCTTTAGATAATACCTAAACATATAACTACAGATCTTTAAATGTTACTTCACGAAAAGAAGTGTTTAAATCTTTAAAAATCTGATTTTTTTTTCAACTGAGCCAGTATTGTCTTTGTATGGTTTGTGTATGTCCTAATGGTTAGCATGCCTAGAATGAAAACCCGAGGATTCATAGTTCCGTAATTTGGAGCCACGGGTGCGCTCTAAAAGTGATGGTCAAATCCCATTTTTCTGTCATTTAAGTGTATCTAAAGAGTTGGCGGTGGGTACTCTTGACTAGCTACCTTTCGATTAGTCTATCAAATGAAGTTAAGGCCATCATGCGCAGATAGCCCTTTGTAGAGCCTTTCGTGAAACTTCTTAAATAAACAAACTTTGGTAATAAATTAGATTTCTCTAATCAAAACTCTGATATTTCTTTGTAATATATTAATTAAAAAGTTATTTTAACAGAAAATTTTAGTGACTCAGTGTTCAGAGTGTCAAACCAACAAGTTGTAGATAATCCTTTAGAATGAGAATAATTCAAAAGAACTCAGTAGATCTGATCTGAATTAACTAATTGTGCTAATGAAAACAAGTTTGTTGATTAATACAAGGACACCAAACTCTTGAACTAACTACTCAACTTTGAAAAACACTATAAAAAAAATCTGACTTACACAACCAATTCGAATAACAGTCTGTTTCGTTCAACCATCTAAAATAATTATTTTCGTAAAACATATTTTAACACTTTTTAAAATTAAAAGATTCAGTACTGCTTTGATGCATCGAGAGATTTAAAAATCGACGAGTGATCGAAATCTGATCGGAGGGGTTTCTTGTAGAAAGTTTTCTCTTTCAGTTGAAACGGTTTTTTGAAAAATAAAAAAAATTGTTTTCGTACATGCGTCATTTGTCTTCACGGACGTCAGGAAATTTGAGCTCCATATTTTTACCAACCAACGTTATTTTTCTAACCAAACTTTGCTACAGAGCTCTTCGTTTCTGTTTTCAAGCATTTATTTTGTTTGAAGATAAAGTGAAGCAAAAAAGGAGAACTAGATGGTGCTGTAATCAATTTCTCTGCTGTTTGCGAACCATATATTCAGCGTCACTTGAATGTTGTATTAATAGAGAGGATAATGTCTTTACTCTCACCCCCCTAAAAAAAAAGAAAGAAAACTTGTATATTAAAATCGACGAAATTGCCAATATAAAATATTAAAACCTTCAAAAAAGAAAAACTTGTTACTTTGTGTTAATCAATAGTTATGATTAAAGTAAGTGAATCGGAACTGAAAAAGAACTTAACGGGTAAGGTAGCTATTTTACCACATCGGCCTAACTGTGAGTACGCAGTGTCGAAAAGACACCTATCACCTATTCGATTATTTGGGTACCTCTCTGTTATCGATATTTTCGGCCAGCTTAGGAGATTTAAATTAATCCTAAATTCGTATACTAATGATGCAAACGGGTAATATACATGTTTCTAATTCACAACAAGGAATTAGGGAAGTAATATAGCGGTTATTCAAATTCTAAACGTTTCCCTGAAGTTATGAAACCTTAGCCAAATAGCTGGTTATTCTATAGATATGTTTGAATAATCGCAAACTCTATGATTAGATCAGGAAAGTAAATTAGATCATACCGAAATATATTATCGACAGACTACAGTATGCAAAATAATTAAGAATTGAAGTAAAATGTACGTGTAGTTATCGACTATATATATATATATAATCCTACGAACATCATTTGATAAATTATGAGTGAAGGTACTCTAATAGAGTACTGAACATGTTGTTTGTCACAAGCTTTGAAATAACTAAACCTGAAATTACAAAATATAATTAATCACTCAAACTTCAAAAGTCCCCCAGTGGCACAGCGGTATGTCTGCGGACTTACAACGCTAGAAACTGGGTTTCGATACCCGTGGTGGGCAAAACACCTATAGCCCTTGTGTGGCTTTGTGCATAATAAAAAAAACAAAAACAAACAAACAAACTTCAAAATGGACGTAAAGACAGCACTCACGAGTTTTGTAGTTTATATAATATGTCAGCATTTTGTTTATTTTACAGAGTAACCTTTGATATTTTCTTTCAGTCCCTCCAGTTCTATGGGTCCCTAGTCAGCTTGTTGGGGCTCAGCCTTGGCAAGAGGTTACGTTAGACTGTCATGCCGAGGCTTACCCACAATCCTTCAACTACTGGGAACGAGAAGATGGCAAGATGATCATGTCGAACGATAAATACAAAGTCCGCTTAAAACAGAAGTCGTATAAGGTCCACATGAGGTTAACGATTCGAAACATCCAAAAGGAGGACTTTGGCTCATACAGCTGTTTGACGAGGAATTCGCTGGGGATGACTGAAGGATCGATAAAGCTTTACGGTCGGTGTTAAGTCACTCATGTAAACATTTATATTGTAATAGATACTGAATTACAGTTGTCCAGATCTTTCTGTTGGCTAATGTGAATTGAATTAATTTTAAATTGGGTATTAACACGATTTATTCAACCAGGCATGGAACTAAATTGAATCATCAGTTTAAAAGCGCTGGATGACGTATAGGTGCTTCGACATAATAATTGTTATTTGTCAGTTGTGAGATATGACAAACCTTCGCTTTCTGTTACCTAGAACGCTTAAATGTGTGAGTTGTTATGAGAAGAAGAGTTACTGAGGAGTTTCAAAAACTTTTAAGGATTAGAGGTTTTAAAAGTACTAATTTATAGTTAATTAACCAATAATTCTGCTGTTTGTAAGGGAAAATGTAACAGGGAAAAATGGTTTTATTAACTAATTACTTGAATGATTTGTTATGAGCATCATAAGATAATACACTAATCTTGATGACATTTAAGTTACCTATTTAATATGTTAAATACGCTATATACAATTTACACTCAAGTGAAAATCATGCTGGAATATATCTAACAGTAAGACTTAGAATTTTTAGCTTATCCTAGTGTGTTATAGATATCCTTTTATGATTATTTCTAAGCGTTTAACTACTTAAATCCAGACTATTAAACAAATATGAATCAACATATAAGAAAATTAAAATATGATTTATCGTAAATCTATAGGATTAATCTATTTTCTAAGCACAGATATTGTTGGTTATCAAGGAAGTATATATTAAACTTGTAGATGTTTCCTTGAAAACGTGTTAGTTAGGGTTCAAAAATATTAAACTTGTAGATGTTTCCTTGGAAACGTGTTTGTTAGGGTTTAAACATATTAAACTTGTAGATGTTTCCTTGGAAACGTGTTAGTTATGGTTTAAATATAATATCAGTGATTATGAGAAATTTTCTGCTCGCATTTGGGCCGCATGACAATTTATTTTATTTGCTAATGCTAATTTTACACGCAACTGGAATTGAATGGCCCTGGCCATAAGAAAATAGAGTATGCGCTGTGTGCCTTTTATTTTTATTCGGATTGTGGCCCTTGAAGTTGCCAAAGGTTAAAGGTTCTTTGCATTAAGTTATTTAAAATTTTCCTTCTATAAAATCTTTTTTTTTCTTTCTAATTCTTAGAACTTTCGCCGCCAACGTCTGCTGTTTCAAACGACGCAGCCGGTGGTTTTAAGTTAATAAACGGCGGTAAGTCATGTGTATTATTCCAGAAACTTAAATATTTCAATATTTAAAGACCTTGCTCTGAATACGTCTTATGCTAATTCAATTTCACCTATTCTTTGTAATAAAAGCTGCATTTGTGCTGTCTGTATAATTTAATTAGAAAGAAGAACTCTAGAAGTAATGTTTCATGGTTCTTCAAGTTTTCTATACTAGTCAAAACCAGTTAAGATGTAGAATAGATGGAACTTTATGTGACAGGACTAAAAATGTTAGAATATGTAAACATGAACACACAAATAGCGTTCTTAAGAAACCTGATATAAGAAATATTTAAATATCCTTCATATATTACTACACATAGTTATTGCTAGAACATGTTACCCTTAAATAAGGAATGTTAAAACCAGACGAAAAGAGCTAATATTTCAGAATGGTTATCACAACATTCAGTGGGTTTGTAAGTAACGAGGGAAAGCCAATCAGTAAGATTAAAAATTGTTACATCGGACTTCATGTACATTAATAATAATCATACTTCAAACTGAAATAGCTCGATCCTAGACAGCCCCCTTAGTTATGCTTTTCTGCTATCCACTAGTATGCTTTTACACCTTTTAAAGATGAACAGGTATGAAGAAGTTAGAAGTCCATAAAAAGGAAAACATTTATAAACTTTTTTGCATATATTTACTTCTTTGACACTGGCTATGCTGTTAAGTAATTGTAACTAGTTTAATAAAGACAGGAATGTATATAGAAAATTTCGAAAATATATAAAAACAAATGACTCATTTCAAAATATAAAGAATATATAATAACATGAAAATGTTCACAGTTACAAAAGAAACCATTCCTACAAATCATATCAAGATTGTTTGATAAGATAACATTTTTCAGTGCTACTGAAGAATAATGAAAAGGATGTTTTATTTTCTAGTAATATCTTACTGTTTTCCCTCCAGCGTTTTCAAGTGTCATCACCAGGTGGAGTAAGTACAAATAACATGGGTATTAATATGGAGAGATAAATATCATTTCTGGCAATTTTACTATTGGAATATACAGGATAGGGCACATAGGTTTTTAGCAGTGTCGAATCTATTCACTGGTTATTCTCTTACTACTTAAAAACACAGGATGATAAATTTTCATAACGGTAGTGATTACTCTAAAGTCTACTTCAATTTTAAATTTCTACACTTTATTTAGTTTTCAAACAGTTCATTATTTCTTGATCTCGTTTAATTTACTGATACTTTCATCTGACATCCACAGTCTTACTTCAACTGTAGTCCTTATTAGTTTTAAACTTCACTTTCATCACAAGTTTTATCTAAAACTCAGTCTTACTTCAACTGTAGTCCTTATTAGTTTTAAACTTCACTTTCATCACAAGTTTTATCTAAAACTCAGTCTTACTTCAACTGTAGTCCTTATTAGTTTTAAACTTCACTTTCATCACAAGTTTTATCTAAAACTCAGTCTTACTTCAACTGTAGTCCTTATTAGTTTTAAACTTCACTTTCATCACAAGTTTTATCTAAAACTCAGTCTTACTTCAA